TTAGCCAGAGCAAGGAAGCCCACTGAGGTGAGGCAGGCTGGAAACCCTTGATCTGCTGTGCCACACATTGCGCGGGGCTGGGGCTGTCAGTTTTACCCCAGATACTACCTGTAATATATCCTAATAGGATGTTGGTTTCATTCACTGGTACCTAGAGAGCACAGAGGAATAGCCTAGAAACACAAGTTCTATATGTCTTGCCCCTATTGTCTTCATCCATCCGGAAGGATCTGAATTAGTGGAGATAGTAAAACCTTGCAGCCCCTTTCCTAGATGTTCCTGGAAGTGGCTGGACCAAAGCCGCAGGAGACATGCATACTGCTATTAGAGCCGAGTTGCAGAGGCCACAATGGGCTGATGGTGGAGGAGATGGCAAACTCAGTCTGGAAGGATGCTAACAGCATGATAAACCTTAACCGCCCGCGTGCAGTGTGGTAGGAAAAGCTGCATCTCCTGCGACGGCATCGGTGTGAAATGTCCAGAGCAGACAGAGCCATGGAGACAAAGCAGATTAGCTGTTGCCAGGGCTGGAGGAGAAGGGTGCTGGGGAGAGGAAGGGGGCTGGCGTTGAAAATGCTCAGGAATTAGTGCCACAGTACTGGGAGTCTACCTAAACCCCGAGGTGCACTCAGCATGGCTAACATGGTGATTATGCACCCCCCCCCACTTTCCTTTCACAGGCTCACACAGACCTCCCCAGGGGATCTTTGTGATTGGTCCGGCTCCCGGGACACTGAGAAGGATCATTGGCTCTACAGATCTGAGTAGGCCGTGGTGGGTGCAGAGGCTATGGGCTTGGCAGAGGCTCTAGCTCTCTACCTGCCCCAGATGTGCCCTGCCTCAGGCCTCTTGGTTACCTAGCCTTCAGGTTTCTTCCTGGTCACACTTTTGGCAAGAGGATGGTAAACTTGAGAGTGAATCTAAGAAGATGTCCTTAAACCTCCTTAAGTTCCTCCGACTTCTCCTCCATCTTTAGACAGGACTCCTAGGTACCTGCAGAAGCAGCCTCATGATCAGGAGAGGGGCCAAAAGGACCCAGGAGGATTGTAACCACAGACCCAGCCCTTGCCCAGAGCTTGAGGCCTCTTAGTTTCTCGAGGATCAGGGCAAATGACCTGGGAAGGGGACCTGCAAACAACTGTTCCCTAACGTTAGCTCTGGAGGTTGGCCGAGGGATGCCGAGGAGGCTCCTGGAGGACCGTCTCCTGCCCGTCGCACCTCCAGTGGCAGCTGCACATCTTTGGCTCATGGCCTGTCATCTTCCAGACTCACCTCTCCAGGCCCTTCTGTCCTCAATGACCTCTGACCTCCTGCACTCTTCCAAGGACACCTGTTATAAGTGACTGTTGGTGAAGAGACACAAAACCACCCGTGTACCCTAGGTAGGACACCAAGGGCTTGTTGAACCAGTGAGCTCAATGGAGTTTGTTACGGGAACATGGGTGACTCTGAGACACCCCCTCGAGCGTTGAACCCCAAAGTTGCCCCAGTCACCCTCTGCCCCCGCAGGAAGAAGCTGATGGATTAGCATCTCAGACAAGGGTCGTATGGCCGTGTCTAAGTGGATTTCAGCAGGCCTAACCTCCATGAGGGGCTTCTGCTGTGCTTACATGACCACTTCAGGCTCACCTCTCCACTTCAGGGGTCTTATCTGCAGACCCCTCCTGCCCTGTGCAGTCCCATCACAAAGACTGCAAGTTAGGAGGAGGCCATTTTGTCCCCTCGTCAGCCAGCCACACTGGTTTTTACATCCCTAAGGTGTCACGTGTTTACCAAAGGGAAACCACAGATCCCTGTGAGCTGCCACTAAAAGCCTAAGGGACCTGCTGTGGATTCTGAGCCCTAGCTCTGTGGCACCAGCATTCATTGGACTGCCTCTGCAGGGGCTGTGGAGCCCCAGGAAGCCCCACCTACTCAGTATGGTGGCCTGCCTCCTTTTCAACACACTTCTTAGACAGCTGTTAGGAGCCCTGTATCAAACCAGTGTAGCCTGGGGTGCTGATGGACTGGCACTGGCAGCTTCTAGAGGCTCCCTGTAGGGCTGAGGTTTAAAAGAACCTGTGTGTTGCGGGGAGGGGGAACTTAGGCAATGTCATGTGACCTGCACCCTGCTTCAGCACTAACTGCTAACAATGCTGCCTCTTTCTTGCTAGTCATGTATGACTACAGACAGAAGACAGTTTTCACAGGTGGTCAAGACAGAGACCCAGTGCCAATGAGGTGGCCACACCCACAAGCTGCCTTACATGATCGAGAAGTTTCTAAGCATTGGTGAGAGTCCCCATCATACACTCCGTGGGGAGGAACAGAATGGCCCTCGGGAAGCCCCTGATGGGACAGGTGGACGGATGCACAGCCAGCAGAATGGAGACGGCTCAAAGGCATGGGGGCTCCAGACCAGCACCACGCAATCCACCACCTGCAGGATCCCCAGGGTGCCTGTGCACGCATCCTTGCCTGTCTTCTGCTCCGGTGCCATGGGCCCGACTGCAATGGGCTGAGCAGAGGGTGGCCTCCCACCCACCCCTAGCTACAGATGGAGCCCTGCAGGGTGCCCCTTCCACAGCTTGGGAAAGGTCACACCGCTCTGGGAGGGCGGCAGGGGGTGGATATCAAAGCCCCAAAGAATTAAGAGATCATGGAATTTTACAGCCCGGTGGCCAATTTCTAAGTCATGCACACTAATAGGCAGCTAATGAGGGACCCTGGGCAGGGACCGAGGAGTGCCCTGAGACCCTGAGCCTGATTAAGGAGTACAAAGCTTTAGCCACTAACTGGCCGAGCGCTTTTTATCTGTTTCCTTAGGAGCCCATTAGTGCGGGTAGAGGTGGGGCATTGAGCCTCCTGGCTCCTGGAGGGTGTGCACTGGGTCACCTCTATGCTACTGTGTGTGTCCCATCCCTCTCCCTCCCAACCTGGGCTCCTGCCCTGCCCTGCTTCTCACTCCTGTAGCATCTCCACCTGGCCCAGAGCCTCCCTCTAGTGAGGAGGATGTGGATTTGAACGACCTTATTCAGTTCAGCAGGGCCAGTGAACACCACACCCCAGACCAGTGCATAAAAACCCGGGCCATAGCCATGGCGAACGAGTAGCCCCATGAGAAGGCCAGAGGAAACATTCCCCAGATCCTTCAGAGGGAGGATGGCCCCATCACAGGCTGACTAAACCTCAGACCTGGGTCTCTAGAGTGAGAGAAATCCCTGATGTTTCAAGTCACCAAGCTTGTGGGATTTCGTTACAGCTGCCCCAGGAGCTTTCATAAGGGGAAGACCTGTGAAAGTGATTTACTGTTCTTTCTGGAGTCTCTTCCTTCCTTCCCTCCCTCCCTCCTTCCTTTCTTCCTTCATTCCTCCTCTCTCTTCCCTCCCTCCTCCCTCTACTCTTCCTCCCTCCTCCCTCAACCCTTCCTCCCTCCTCCCTCCATCCTTCCAGTACTTCCTGTGCGCTGACTCTTGTCAGCACAGGGCAGGGGGCCAGCGGAATCACAGCCTTCCCAGACGTTCATGCTGAGGTGCTGTCAGGCATTGAGTGAGCACCAGCTGTGTGGAGCTTCAAGGAGGTCACCAAGTCAGGGCAGAGACGCTAGACACACAGGGGGAAACGGCACTTTGGGGGTGTCCCTGACAGGCTGATTGGATGGGGTGGGGGCTCTGGGCATGTTTGATAGAAAGCACTTCTCAGCAGGGTCTCTGGGCCAGCAGCAGGAAACAGGCAGATTCTCAGACCCCATCCCAGGCCCACTGAGGCAGAAGTTCCAGGGATGGACTGGTTGCTTGTCTGCAGGAGTCCTCTGGGGGATTCCCAAGAAGCGAGTTGGGGGTCAGGCTTCCAGCAACAAGCCAATGAAAAAGCCAGGTTGGTCTTGACGTTGGAGTTTGTCTTTTGCCAGCTTAGCAGCCACACACTGCTTCAGAAAGCATCCAAGTTCGCCTTCTACTCAGCGTGGCTCCTGCCTGGAGCTTATTAGCAAGAACCTTGGGCTTCCCCAACAGGCTTCCCCTACCTTTCAACAAGCTCCCAGGCACATCTGAGGCACGGGGTTAGTTTGATGAGCACCTGCCGCTGGCCTCATAAAAGAGGACCTACCAGGGATGCTTAGTGACCCTTCCACAGATGGGCTTCAGTGAGACATACTGCCAACCAGTGACAGCCAGTAATGGTGATAGACAGCCTTCTTCCATGACCCTCCCCAAGACCAGGGAGGCTTAGAGGGGCTGCCAAAGGTAGGGGCTCTGAAGAAACTGACCCCAGGCCTGCAGTGGGTGGGGTCAGCTTCTGAGGGCATAGATGGATCCCAGCTGGGCTCTGCCCAACAAGCAGCTGACGAAGCCACACCCCAAGGAGGGGCTTTGGCCGATCACAGGACATCCCAATCAGGTTAGAAACCTCCAAAATTGCAAGCTCTTTGAACAGGTGGCCTTAGTCTGTCTTCTCTGCCCCTCAGGCTTGGATTCCTAACCCAACACATGCCCTTAGGGCCCCCTAATGAACGCCTCAAGAGCCCAGACCTGTGGAGGTAGACTCTCCTTCCACCCGCCTCCCATGGCTGCAGCAGTGCAGCCAAAACACTAAGAGGAAGCCTGAGTTTGAATCTGCTGGCCCAGGCCTGCAGGGCACCTTACTGGGTTTGGTAAGGACTAGGGCTCCGGGCACTTCGGGAGCTGAGTTTGGAAGCACAGTTGTGGGTGGGAGCTGGGGAGAAATGTTCCACCAGGAGAGGAAGCCGGGGCTTCAGATGGAAAGGGCAAGGAGAAATAAGATCATGGTTGCCTCGGGGTTAGAGGGAGGACGGGAGAGAGAAGAAGCGTAAGGTAAGTTAGGGGGCCAGGTGTGGATGAATGTGGCCCACTTTGGAAGAGGAGAGGAAACGGAAGAGGATGGGGGTTGGGGGAGTGAGGCGTACCATTGTTGCCCTGTCTCATGCTAACCTTGAGAACTTGAGTTTAAAGGATCAGAAAAGGAAGGTTCAATGCTAGCCCTCCCTTTCTGCTGCCTCAGCCATGGAAGGGCAGCCCAAAGGGAGCAGAGGCCTTCTGGAGAAGCCTGCTACCACCCATCCCTCTCTGTCCTCACTGGGTGCCGTGTTCATCCTCCTGAAGTCTGCACTGGGTGCCGGACTACTCAACTTCCCCTGGGCCTTCTACAAGGCAGGAGGCATGGTGCCCACCTTCCTGGTGGCCCTGGTGAGTCACCGAGGTGTCTGGGGGCAGATAGAAGATGGTTCTTCCGGGTGGGATCTTTATCATTGCTTCTGCAGAGCTGGCTGTCTTGTGTGTGCTAGCGTGGGATCTTGTTCCCGAGCCTCAGTACCTGGGGGACATGTCCCACACTAAGTGGGTTAAAAGCAAGAACTATCTACCAATCTCCAGGGGCTTTTAGAGTTAGGATGAGATCCATCACGGCCTGAAGGATTACCAGGAAAAATAGCCACAAGCTGTAGGCACGCACGGTTGTACCTCCTGATACAGGACCAGGACAGTACTAGATGTGGGACTGTCCAGGGGTGGTGTGGGGCTGTGTGCTGAGGGGCTTGTCTTGGGACAGGTGTCCAAGGGCAGCAGAGGCCCTTTTAAGTTTAGCCCATGAGGGAGGGGTGTACAGGACACTGAGAACTCAACAGTGGGTCCCCCAAAGCATCCTGGAGAATTAGCAATCCCAGCAGGCCACTCATATACCCTGGCTTCTGAGTGCGTCTGGGCAAAGCAGACAGGAGAGAGCACAGGGGCCTGTTTGTGGGACCTGGGGTGAATTGTGGGTTCGGGGCAGTAGTCTAACTCAATGTATGTGTGAATATTGTTCATTATAAATGACGGAGAGAGCCCTGGAAAGCCATAAATAAAGAGCCCCACCCCCACAAACCACCAACCCCGCCCTTCTCACAGACAACTCACCCTGAGCCTGCGCCAGACCCCAGCACCCATGAGTGGTGGGTGGGTGGGTAGGAGGAACCGTCATCATTGCATAGGCCAGACAGCAGGGTTTCACGGCACACAGGCCGGCCTGAGGTTCTGAGCCAGATGTCCTTGTTCCGCCCCCACATTCCTCGCCTTGCCTCTCAAGGGAACGGGAGAGCATTTCAACCTGCTGGCTTTGTGAAGTTTCTTCTGTCCTGTGGGACAGAGCTGTCAGGTTCCCAGACTCAGTACAGCTGGCAGCGCCCACCTCCCCTGAAGCTCTTGGGTAGAGAGAGCTCTTGCAGAGACTTCATGGAGGGTACTCTTGGGCCACTGGCCTGAGTCACCCCCCCTGATGTGCAGTCCCATGGTCCCCTCTGCAGGTATCTTTGGTCTTCCTGATCAGTGGCCTGGTCATCCTGGGCTACGCAGCATCTGTCAGTGGCCAGACCACCTACCAGGGTGTGGTCCGTGAGCTATGTGGTCCCGCCATGGGGAAGCTGTGTGAGGCCTGCTTCCTGACCAACCTGCTCATGATCTCTGTGGCTTTCCTCAGAGTGATCGGGGACCAGCTGGAGAAGTGTGAGTCCCTTTCCTGGCATTGGCATAATCCGGGGTGCAGGACCTAAAATGACTCTGGGGTGGGGGGCAGTTGATGAGCAGGACCAGTGGGTAGTTGAAGGACTGACCACAGGGGGGCAGTAGAGGGATGGCCTCGCCTGAGGAACCCAACATGGTTAGCGAGGGAACAGTCATGAGGGTGTGAGAGAGCCGATGGTTACAGATGGAATGGCTCACGGAGACAGCCCATTTCACAGAAGGGAAAATTAAGCCAAGTGCAGCACGCCGGGCTTAGGAACTTGCTGTGCCTTCCACCCTGACTCACAGGATACCTGCGCCATCTTGGTTCGTTTCCTTTATTTGTTATTCAGGTCCTCCGGTTCCTGTTTCATTATATCACTCGCAAGACACAATTAAGAGATTTAGAGAATCTTGAGACTTAACTTGTGACTCAGCTCTCGTCATGCTTGGTGAATGTTCCATGTTCCGTTTTGAAACAGGGTCTCGCCGGGCGGTGGTGGCACACGCCTTTAATCCCAGCACTTGGGAGGCAGAGGCAGGCGGATTTCTGAGTTCGAGGCCAGCCTGGTCTACAGAGTGAGCTCCAGGACAGCCAGGGCTACACAGAGGAACCCTGTCTCGAAAGACCAAAAAAAAAAAAAAAAAAAAAAAAAAAAAAAAAAAAAAAAAAAGAAAGAAAAGAAAAAAAGAAACAGGGTCTCATATAGCCCAGGCTGGACTAGAACTGAGCTCACTACATAGTTGAGAATCCTTAGCTCCTAATCCCACGCTCTCATTCCATTTCTTTTTTAAAAAAAAAATTTTTAAACATGTGTGTATGTGTGGCAGGGGAGGGGGGCATGTATGTGTGTGAGCGTAGTGTTCACAGAGGCCAGAGGTGTCGGACCTCCCAGAGCTGGAGTTACAGCTGGACATGAACCACCAGATGTAGATGTTGGAAAGCAAACTGGACCACACAAAGGCAGTGTGTGTCCCTTCCCCAGTCATCTCCCCAGCCCCGTGCCTTTGTCCTGAGCACTGTGATTACAGGCGTGTGCCACCATGCCTGGTTTATGCAGTTCTGGGGATGGAATCCAGGACTCCCGCTCGGTTCTCTGAGCCACATCCCCAGGCTGTTTTTTTGTTTTGTTTTTTCCCCTGAGATTTTAAATGCCTTGGTTAGTCTACCTTTATCTCAGCACCCGGTGACGAGCCTCCAGCTGTGACTTCCGACCTTGCCCCCACCCTGTAGTTCCAGACTCGGCTCCAAGGCTTTTGAAGCCCCGTGGTTAGACGACACATCTTTTATTAATATGAAATATTCTGCTTTATCTCTGGCATGAAGCCTTCTTCTCTATTAATAGACTCACTGGCTTCAAGATCAGCGTCCACGGGCAACCCTCCTATTCTTCTCTGAAGCCGGCTACAGCTCGGGGTTGTAAACACACTCCTTGTAAACAGCATATGGCTGAGTCTTGTGGGTTTTTTTTTTTTTTTTTTTTTTTTTTTTTTATCATCTTGACAACCTCAGGCTTTTAATTGGAATCTTTAGGCTTAATTGGAATATAGCTGTTGCTCGGGTTAGATGACAGTCTATTATGTTGCTGTTTCTTTCTCTTTCGCCCTTGCATGAAGAGGCCCCTGGCTGTGGGGTCCCATACCCAAGAATGTGGAGGATGGACTCTCTGGACCTTTCAGGGAGTAAAAGGTCACGCACTGGCAATGGCATGTGGAACCCATCCTATGCCCCAGATCTGGGCTGTGTTGAGGAGTCAGAGTCTCCAGGATAGAGCACTGTGACCAGTGTCCTGACCGAGAGATGAGCCACCCCAGGTCTCGGTGGACTGACAGGAGGGAGCACACAATGTCTCTTTCTGGTCCATCACTGGGGATGTATCTGTTCTTGATATCCCACGCTCTTGGAAAGAAGATGTTAAAAGCAGGCTGAGTGTGTAGGGACAGTTACTGTGTGAGTTAGGTACACAAATGACCCCATAGGCTGAGGACTTCATGGGCTGTCTAGTCAGTTCAGGTTTATGAAGGAGGAAGGGTCATAGCGATTTGAGGGCGGTGTTTCCTGGCCGCAGATAACTTGGGAGGGGGTGGGGAGTGAAGGTTTTGTGCCCCACCCTCTGTGGCATTCTAAAGCCCACCTAGGATCTCTTTTTTTTTTTTTTTTTTGAGACAGGGTTTCTCTGTGTAGCCCTGACTGTCCTGGAACTCACTCTGTAGACCAGGCTGGCCTCAAACTCAGAAATCCACCTGCCTCTGCCTCCCAAGTGCTGGGATTAAAGGCATGTGCCACCACTGCCCGGCTCCACCTAGGATCTCTATGTACCCTTCACAACCTGCCTCCTCTTGGTGGCACAGGGGTGAAGGGCTTCTCTCTGCAGGGTGACCTGGCTGTAGGGCTCTTCCACACCTCACCAGATGGAGGAGCTGTTCTCCCAAGGCAGTTATTTCTCTGAGAGGTATTTGATGAGCTCAGAAAAGGGTTTACTTGGGCAGTGTGAGCATCCCTCCCCAGCCGCGCCTCTGTCCAGCGGTCACCTTGCCTGTGACTCCCAGGTCACTCCAGCCTCAGGCTGTCTGCCACTTCATGCTCCCTTCCCCCATCCACCCTCCCTCTTAGTTCACATTAGCCTTGCTGTCCCCTGGTGCTCTCACTGAGAGGCTGTCCCCTGCCCTTGAGTCAGGAGTGCTCTGTCACGGCTTTGTCGTGGCCAGTTTCAGTGTGGCTTTTAGGGTTGGCAGCGTCCAGCTTGGAGAACTCCTGGCTGCCGTGAGCCAGGTTGAGCTATTAAGAGGGCCCCTGAGGTGAGGCAGAAGACTAAGGGAAAGGCTCTAGGGTCTCTAGCAGCCACTGGAAGTGGGCTGCTGCTGTCCAGGGTCCCCCCAGACCAGCTCTGTCATCAGCTCAGGTGCCTGTAAGAGTTCTAACCACTCTTGGTAGAAAGGAGGGGCCAGCCCAGCTCCCCCCAAGGTTTACCCCCTAATTTACAGTGTGGGCGAGATTTACGGTTCTCAGCCACCTAGTTTTGGAGTGAGCAGTTACTGAGCAGCTGTGCATGAAAGAACCAAGGGGCTCATTTCTTCCCAGAGTGTTTCCGAGCCAAACCAAAGGGAGCCTTGGTCAGTTCTCAGTGCCACAAAGGCAAAGAAAGAAGCTCAGTGTATGCTTGTTGAGTAACTTCATGAAATATAGGGGTTCCTTCCTTCAAGGGGGCATAGGATGGACCCCCATCCCATTTCTTTTCTTTTTTTTTTTTTTTTGAGACAAGGTTTTTCTGTGTAGCCCCTGGCTGTCCTGGAACTCACTCTGTAGACCAGGCTGGCCTCGAACTCAGAGATCCGCTTGCCTCTGCCTCCCAAGTGCTGGGATTAAAGGCATGCACCACCACCGCCCGGCCCCCATCCCATTTCTGATCCCTTTACTCCAGGCTGACTTAGCCACCAGCCCATGTGTCTGTACCCCATGGTTACTGTGGGGTCCAAGCCTAGCTCCCAATCCTGTCTCTAACAGTGTGTGACTCCCTCCTGCCTGACGTCCCACAGCCCTGGTACGCAGCCCAGAACTTCACCCTGCCCCTGATCTCTGTGCTGGTCATCTTTCCCCTGTCAGCACTTCGGGAAATCGCCCTCCAGAAGTACACCAGGTATGGGGGCCTCCGTGGCTTCTGGGCAGGGCAGCTCTGTGCCAGGGTGGCATTTTGGGGAATAAACTGTGAGACATAAAGGTTTGCTTCCAGTTGAGAAGAAAATTGGAAGTTTTACAGGTTTGTGTACCCATAGCAGAAAATATAAATAAGCCAAGAAATACTGATAGCCAGTCTTTAAAAAATAATTTGAGCACTGTGCCCGGTAGAACACATCTTTGATCCTGGGACTTGGGATGCAGAAGGAGGTGGATCTCCATGAGTTCAAGGTCAGCCTGGTCTACAAAGCAAGTCCAGAACAGCCAGGGCTATACAGAGAAACCATGTCTTGAAAAACCAAATTAAAAAAAAAAATAACTTGAGCGCTGGGCAGTCGTGGTATACACCTTTAATCTCAGCACTCAGGAGGCAGAGGCAGGTGGACTTCTGCATTCAAGGCCAGCCTGGTCTACAGAGCAAGTTCCAGGACAGCCAGGGCTACACAGAGAAACCCTGTCTCAGAAAATAATAATAATAATTCATAACAATGATTTTAATTTATTCTTCAACAGTTTCCACCATGTGTAAGGTTATTCCCATGTCCTGCAGCAAGTGGCCTAAGAGACCTCATGGCAGGTCTCGGCGTGGCGTTTAGGAGGGTTGGCAGCATCCAGGTTGGAGCTCTCCTGGCTGCCATGGACAAAGTTGAGCTAGCAGAAATGCCCCAAGAGATGGGGCAGAAGTCTGGGGGGAGGGCCCCCTGAATGCTGGCTTTAAAGACAGATTCCACTACACCCAGCTTAAACTCTTTTTAAAAATTTTTTTAATTAAAAAATTAAATTAATTAAAATTAATTTTTAAAAAAGATATTTTAATTAGCATACTTCTATAAGGGTACTTCACAGGTCCTTAGCTTTGGTTAGAGTCATCCCGTACCTTCCCTCTCTCTCTATGTTTAACCTTTGACCTCAGGATCACCCCCTACGTTTTAATATCCCGTGTGCTCTCCTGTTGGCTTCTTCATGCTTCTTCTGGCTCTCGTATGAGAGAGAATGAACAGTGTAGAGCTTGCCTGTCTGGGTCTGGGTCGTCTCCCTTTCTTCCAGTGTCATCCATTTTCCTTGGTGTGTCCTTACAGCTGAGTTAAATGCCGTCAGAACAGCACACGTTGTCATGTGACGGGGGCAGGCTTCCCACACACCCAGCCTCGCAGGCTCTACAGTCAGATGAACACGGTTTTTAGTTCATTTTTGACCTTGAAGCTCCCAGGAAGGGTGCTGAAAAGCCAAGGCCTAATGACATTCTTGGTCCAAGTTCACTGAAGTGCATTGCCTTTCCCTTGTGTAAAAATAACAATGGATTTTTGTAACCCTGGGAGCAGAAGCCTCAGGGCCCAGTCCCTCCACACCTGCAGCCTACAAGGCTCCCTCAGGCCACACCAGGCTCATCTTCTCCTCCCCTGGGGCCAAGGCTGAGGATGTCCTGACTTGCTTGTCAAACTTCAGCAGCTGACTGGTGCTCGCTGGTGAGAGGAAAGCTATCCCAATTGTTCTCCCCAAGGATGCTGGGCCTCCTGGATCCCGTACCTCTGAACTCTGGACCAGAGCAGCACTGTCCAACCACCTCCCAGTGCTCCCCGTGTGGAAAGGGAACAGTGGTTCAGGAGCAGAGCGGCCTGGCTCCACTCTAGCCAGGGCAGAGCCGGGATAGCCATGTGGGCATCGGCTGTGTGTCTCTGCTGTGGGGTCTCTGATTCTACCCCATGTCTGTCAGCATCCTAGGTACCCTGGCTGCCTGCTACCTTGCTCTGGTCATCACAGTGCAGTACTACCTATGGCCCCAGGGCCTCCTACGCCAGCCTGTTCCTTTGCTGAGGTGAGTCTAGGGAAACAGTTTTTCCTGCTTCTCAAGTGGAACTAGGATTCTTTTCTTTTTTTTTTTTTTTTTTTTTTTTGGTTTGACGAGACAGGGTTTCTCTGTGTAATCCTGGCTGTCCTGGAACTCACTCTGTTGACCAGGCTGGCCTCGAACTCAAAAGTCTGCCTGCCTCTGCCTCCCAAGTGCTGGGATTAAAGGTGTGTGCCACCACTGCCCGGTTGGGACTAGGATTCTTGAAATGGGATTCTCAGAGGATTGCTGCCCAACCCTGGTTCTCTCCCACGAGATCCATCCTTTCTCTGATGTATAATAAAAACCAAGGAAGTTTCTCCTTCAGGAAAAAAAAAAGGCACCAAAGACCACAGCAGCCTGGGGCTCCTAAGCCAAAACCAGACATACTGTCTATGTGGAAGCTGACAGGTACCCAGGCTTAGGGAACCATGGGGCTGTTGAACAGCCCTAACTAGGGCTGAAAGTAAGGTAGGGTGTCATGTGGGGACTCAGAGCTGCTCTGAAGACCATTGTTTCTGAAATGGGTGAACTGGGGAACCCTTGGTGTTCTGGGCACAACAGGGATGGAGCATGGCTTGTTCCTGAAAAGGATTGCCAAGTGTTCTATGGGAGGCAGGCAGGAAGTCCCAGCCTAGATGTGATGCCTCAGGCTGGGGAGTATCTCAGGCTGGGGAGCATCCCAGGCTGGGGAGCATCCCAGGCTGGAGAGCATCCCAGGCTGGAGAGCATCCCAGGCTGG